GTTCAAGTGAATGGGATCTACAGCCTAGTTGGAATAGGCCAGTAGAGGCGGTACATGTCGGGGATCTCGCGGGGATGACGAGGGGGGAGTGGGGGTAGGAAGCGATGCATCCCTTCCATCGTCACCGGGAGCTCCTCATATCGGATGATCCGGTGGAAGCGGGGGAAATGATCGCCACTGCGAGGGAGGGAAGCGAGGTAATCGCGATAGAAAGAGAAGAGGGTATGAAAAAGCGCCGCTCGAAAGATCTCGAAGTGGCGACAGGCGGGGATTGTCCCCGTGGCAACGTAGTAGACTTCTACGACGTTGGATCGCTCCCAGGCAGCGCTGAACAGCAGGAGGTGCCAGCAGAACGTGGGGGCAGCGGATTGAAGGGAGGCGTGGGGGTGGACGGTGGCGAGTAGACGGGTAGAATAAAAGTCGCGGAAGAGATGGGGATGGAAAGGATGGGAAGGGAAAGTGACGGGGTACGGATCTGCTCAAGGGTGAGAAAATCAAGGGGTCGGCGAAGCAGCGTCCGAGGTCGAAGGCCTATCACCCGCATTGGTACATGGGCGAACTGGGGGACGGGTGGGGCTGGAGGAGGAGGGGGATCGGCGCCGTCTCCGTCGCGCGGTACTTGAGGTGGCGGCTGCAGGGTCGTCATCTTCGGGCCTCGGCGGCTCTGGATCCCTGGTTGGACCGCTACCGATGCGCAGGCTATCCTTGCTAACGAACTCCAGCTGGCGCTTTCTGGAGGCAATCTGTTCACGCCTTCGCGCCACTTCCGGATCTTCCGCCTCCGTTCCCGTACGTGTCACTTCCTCCGGTGGGGTTCCCCACTCGGATCCGGTTCCTTCTTCCTCCTTTTCCTCCTCACTCATCTCGCCCTCTCTATGTTCACTATAGCTTCCCTCCTCCGATGTTTCCTTGTTGTTGTCTTCTTCGTTGTAGTCGTCGTTGATCACCACTTCCTCTGCCTTCGGATAGAAGGCGTACGGGATGATTTCGTACGGCTTCAGATACTCCAGCCGCGATGGTAGGGTATCCTCGTCCCTAGGTTCCTCCAGGCACGAAGTCCGCTGAAGGTACGGATCTAGGGATCGCTCGAAAATGTACGGAGCAGGACTGTTGTCGCTTTGAAAGTAGATGTCGGGCAAGAGATCGTCCGCCAATTGCACGATCGGTGTGATGAGCTCCTGTGCAGTCGATTGACGATGACCCGGTCATACCGATCCAAAGAGGAATCCAATAAGATCTCCTTCCACGTTAGTCCTCCAACCCTGTATGATCATCAGCTCCGGATTCTCGATCCACGTGGGGTGCTCGATAGTGCCCGTCCACTTCACTTGTACTCTGGCCAAGCAAAACGACAACTCCTCCAAAGTTTCGCGCCACAATCGCCAGTGTCCAGGAATGATACGAGGGACCGGAAGAGGCTCGAATGAGAAGGAAAGAGAAGGGTGAAGATTGGATTGCCAGAAGGTGGGGAAGAGAGAGGGGAGACCAAAGATAGAGAGAGGAGCGAGACGAGCAGCGTGGTTCATTGGGGACGGGGGAAGGGGACGATGGTCGGGATCGCAACTGGCCGCTCGCGCGGTGATCGGCGAATACCATCAAGATCCGATGCAGAGATCGGGATGATGTTATTCCGCTCCCGGGCGAGGACGTGCTGCCAAACGTTGGACACTTGCTCCGTCCACTCGTGCAGCGAGGCCAAGATCGCGGTATGCCGCAGCGGATTGACCGAGCTGAGGTCGCTGGTGAATTCCGCCACTGTGGTGACATGGCTCGTTCTGGGACCCGCTCGCCGAAGAACTGCAGTAACCTCCGCGAACACTATCGCATGAGGGATTCCTTCTATCCGAAACGCGGCGGCGGCACAGATACCTTCGTCGCAGAAGAATCGCATCAAACGGCGGAGATCCGTGTTGAGCCGAGGGTGACAAACTTGCCGGATCTCTTAGATGTGGCCACGTGGCTGTCGCAGTTGTGCGTCGAGAACCCGCTCCGTGATGAAACTCGTGGCGAGGTCGGAAAGGAGGACGAGGGACAAGAGGGAGAAAGAGGAGAGAGGGTTAGTTGTCGTTATCCTCGCTTTCTGAGGAAGAGGAGGGAGGAAAACGGAAGGAGGAAGGAGACGGAGGTAGAAGGTTTGTCTGACGATGGGGACGGAGCTATTGTTGGCGCCAGCCTCAGGCGCAATGCGCACCGTGTTAGCGTCGTTGGGTCCGAGTTCGACAACGTGAAAACAGCCAGAGAACTTGGGAGCGAGTTTTCGGTCGCGTGCACATTTACATACCTACACTAGGTCCCCCAATCTATACTGGTACTGGGGCCCAGCATTTCCGTTCCGGGCCTCGTAGCTACGGACCTGTCTACCGTGGGCCAGCTCGGTTATCCTTTGCCTTTTTCGGGCTAGCTTCGGGACGGCCCGTTCCATCAAATCGGTGTACCTTTTGGCCTTGGCCTTGAGGGTTGCACGTGTGTTTCTACCCCCTGCTTCGGCGATTTCCGAGTTACCCCGGTAATCGACACAGGGAAGGCTATTAGTTCGAAACTGAAAGGGGGTGAGCCCCGTAGACTCGTGAGGGGTGGCCCGGTGGATGTCGACGATCTGATATACGATCTCGGGTCACGGACGCGTGTCGTGTGCCGCTAAGTTCCTGCAAAGGGCGGTTTTAATCATACGGTTGGCATTCTCGGCCAACCCGTTCGATTGGGACACGTGGGGTGCCGTATGTCGGAGCGTGACGCCCCTTCGCGCAAGTAGTTCTTCTACCTCTCCTTTAAATTCAGACCCATTGTCGGTTAGAATTTCTTCTGTATCTAGATGGGTGTAGAGGAATCGTTCGATGTACGTGGATATTTCTGCGGCCTTTCGGGTCTTACAGGGATAGACTTCGATGTATTTGGAAAAATGGTCAATTAAAACCAACAGGATATAATATTCACAGCGGTTTGGGCTAGGTGGCACGTCAATGTCTGTCGTATCCATACTGACTCGCTGAAAAGGACGCCCTACTTCCGTTGGTACGATTGTGTTTGGTCCCCGTATAGTGGCACGATCAGCGGCACAGACCGGACAGTTAGCTACAATGTATTTGACATCACCTCGCATATTGGACCAGAACCATTGATTCTGGTCTACAGTTGCCTTCGTGACACATATCGCGAAATGAGCGGCCTGTTCCTCGTGAGCAGATTGGATCCAATCGTATCTCTAGAAGGGATGGGGAACTGTCAGCCACGAACCCGATCCGTCAGTTTTACGCTTTTCCAAATGACCGTTGATCCATCGATAGTCCCGAAATCTCTCGGTTGCCCTACGTCTGTCGTGTTTGGTGAGATGGCCCAATGATAATCCCGCTAATTTTGCCAATAAAATTTTATCCGTTCAGACTTCCGCCCGTCGGTATTTTTCGTCGTATTCAGGACCGTCCGTACGGGCGGCCTCTAATCGAACCTCCGTGGGAGCTTGTTCGTTCTACACAGGGGGCACCTCCATTCCTTGCTACTCGTCCGATATCGAACGCAGGCCCCGTGCGCACGGTTGACACACATGGCACATTCTACCCAATCGACAAATCCGGTCTCGAAGGGATGACAGACGACACCGTAAACCCGTGCAATACAGGTGCAAAAACAGCAGAATTTATTGGGGAGGGTGTTGAAGAAAGCTGAGGAAGTAAAAGGGGCAGATTTAGTAGGAGAAGAAGGGGTAGTGGAGGCAGACGGGGTAGTCATGCTGACGGAAGGGGAGAGACGGGACTGAATTGTGGAGAGAGCAGAGCAGGCAAGTTAATCCTCGTGTCACTTACTGCTTTGACAAAATCTCCACTTGGCCGTACCGAGGTCCAATCTTCTGCTCGGGTCCATTCCACGGAATCACCTCCTCATTCCTCGGAACTTTCTCAGGCCGGTGCAGTCGTGTCAGTCCGTCCGCATTTCCGTGTCTCTCGTACTTTCGATGACGAATGTCAAAGTCCATGCTCTGCAGCAGCGTTGCCCATCGCCCGATCATGCCCGAGTAATCCTTCGACTTCTTTAGGGCCAACAGGGGCTCATGATCAGTCACCAGGGTGAATTTTCGCCCGTACAGGTAAGCACGGAAGTGACTGATTCCCCAGAGAGCCGCATAGCATTCACCCGTCGGAGCGGCGTAATTGCGCTTGCAGGCGGGCACTGATTTAGACGCATACTCCACTACACTCTCGAGTCCGCTAAGTCCCACCTGGGCAAGGATCGCCGAGATCGCCTCTGGCTGCCAGTCCATGATGAGAACAAAAGGTTTTTCGGGATCTGGTCTTATAAGGACCGAAGCCGAAATGAAAGCAGCCTTGAGTTTGGAAAATGCTTGATCGCACTCCGGCGTCCAGATCAACGGTTGATCCTTTCGCAGGAGATTCGTGAGGGGTCTCGCAGTCGCCGCGAAGACCTTGATAAATCTTCGGTAATACGAGGCTAGGCCTAGAAAGGCGCGAACTTGCGTGATAGTGGTAGGTACTAGCGCATCCCCGACAACTGCCATCTTCAGCGGCTCCGGTTGGAGTCCCTTGTCTGTCACCACGTGCTCCAGAAAAGAAATGGTGGTGAGGAAAAACTGAGACTTCTCAAGCGCCACCTTGAAACCTGCATCTCGTAACACATGTAGTGCTCATTCGATGTGCTGCACGTGTCCCTCGTAGGAGCTCGAATACACTAGGATGTCATCCATGTACACAATCACGCAGTAGTTGATGATGCTCAGCGCTAGACGAGTCTTCCGTACGAAATTCTGAAAAGCCATGTTCATGGCCCACTGAAAAGTCGCAGGGGCGTTCCAGATACCCATCTGACATCGAATCCATTGCCACGTACCTTCGAAAAGCACAAACGTTGTTTTTGGTCGATCTTCCTCCCGAACAAGAAGATGATGGAACCCATGACGACATCAAACTTGCTGAAAAATCGAGCAACCCCAATCGCATCCAATAACTCATCAATCCGGGGGAGGGGATACATATTTTTAATCATGATATCATTCATCTTTCGATAATCAATGCAAATGCGAATCCCTCCGGCTTTTTTAGATACGATTACTACGAGAAAAGACCATGGACCTATGGCAGGTTCGATCCATCCATTAGCTTCAAACTCCTTAATCCGCTGAAAAGCAGCCGCTCTTTGAGCTGGCGAGTATCGATAGGGAGCGCAGCTAATGGGTGGATGATCTCCTGTGAGGATGGCATGCTCAATCACATTAGTTAAGCCGATATCATTATCGTGCACAATCAGTACTTCTGCGTAACCATTTAACACACGGATTAATGACTTCCGGAGTTTCGTAGGAACATGACTCGGGAGGGGGATTGTTGATTCCCCGGAAATCTTGACAGGCATATTGACCCAATCAATCGGTTGTTCCCGTCGTTCACCGACACTAGAGAAAACGAAACTGCTGGTGCGGACAGAAAAGACAGTTGCTATCATCTGGGACTCGGCGGGGCTGATCATCTTCGTTTCTTTATTTTCAGCGTCGATCTCTGAGCCAACATTAGTCGGTTCCACAGTTAGCCCTGTTAGATCCGTCATTTCTTGCATCAGATTAGGTACGTCACTTACCGGTGCTTCCGCCTCTTGTTTAATCAAGGCGATGGTGGCTCCTGTTGTTAGTAATGGTCTGGGCGGAAAAACAGAGACATCCAAATACTGTTCCGTTTGTTAATAACATGTTCGTAAGGAAAGAGCTCCATCGTACAATGTGCGAGGGGGTTTCAAATCATCAGCCCGGCCGGAAACTTGCAATATGGGTTCTCCGAGGAGGACTGAAGGACTGACCTGGGTTGTTAGAGGCGTGAATGCATTGTCCTTGGAATCTACGTGGAAGCTTCGGGTGGTGTCAGGGCACACTTGAAACTCTTCGGGGATTTCATGTTCGAAAAGTTCAACCAGATGCTTCCATTCTTCTTCGCTAGGCATCTCTTCTTCATGTTCTTGTTCCCTGATTTCATCCCCGAGGCGCGAGGGAGAGCATTCATCGGGATCAATGTATCGAATCAAACTGCAGACATACCTCCTACCTCCGTCTCCTTCCTCCTTCCGTTTTCCTCAGTTTGTGTAAGCACCAATTGTTTCGAATCGAAATGCAGACGTGTGCCCACCGCCATCGCCCAAGGTAATCCCAACAACACAGAATAGGATCGTACATCTATTACGAGCGCGTTAACAAGGACATGTACTCGTCCAACTTTTACGACCACATTCTCGATAATGCCTACGATGTTCATTGTTTCCTCGTCGGCAGAGACATAATTGTCTTTGCCAGATTGAGGAAGAATGGATCCCAGTCGTTCCGTCTATTTGACAGTATCCAATGATATGGCCACGGCAGAAGACCCTGTGTCAATAAGGGCATTAAACGGTTTGCCCCATACTTCACAGTCACATTCCGCACTTTTCCATAACACCGGTCGAGCTCGTACGAAGTAATATTTTTCTGCTAAAGAGATCGATGCTATACGTGCGGCTTCAGGTTCCGGATTTTTCGTGTCAGGCTCAGGGGGTACGACTTCCTCGCTTTCTTCTTTCTTCTTCAACATCCGTTGTATGCGTTGATAGGTGAAATGCTTTTGATTTTTCTAGCATTGTTGTAGAAGTTTATCGTTTGCTACTTCAGATATGGTGAGCAGATGTCCCACTGGGACGGGCACGCGAATGTCTAATTTCTTGAGTGTTCTCAGTACGTCAATATCTCCTGTCCGAAACTGCGGTCCTGGATTGGATTCGCGATCGACCCACTCGAGATCATCTGGGACCGATCGGATCGCTCCGATCATGCCTGCGAGATGGAGATACTCGAGACGATCGACCACATCAGCAGCGTCGGGGGAAGAAGCTCCCGATGTCGATGTCGTTGCCATCGAAGGGGAGTGTTGTTATGTGGCATATGCCACAAGTTTTCTTCCTTGATCCGTATCCATCAGAGCGTCGACTCATCCCTGATTAAGGGCGACGGGGGCCGCCGCAGGGGGAGGCTGATTACGTTTCGGCTGCGGACAGTCCCGAGCGAAATGCGCGGGCTGCTTGCAGTTAAGGCATTCGACCTTCCCTGCTAGATTAGCTAGATGAGGGAACTGAGGCGCGAACCCTGGAGCAGGTGGGGCAGGTAAGAGTGGAAACGATGCAGGAGCAGGCCGAGCAAGAGCTGGGTTAGGCTTAATGAGCCTGATCATTATCTGTTTCATCCGCTCCATATGAGCTGCCTGCAGTTGGATCAGGTTACTCATCCATTCGGACTGCTTAGTAGTGGCTGTATGGATCATCTGGGCAAGATGCAAATTGGTTATGGCTGGCGAGGGGGGTACGGATGGGGTTCCGCTTCTAACGGCTGCGATTGATTGATTCACCAGGGGAGAGGGAGGAGAAGCATCCGGGATATCGAGACGATACGGTTAGTGAAGATGCCGCCTTGAAAGGCTGCTTGTAGCCATGATTCATCGAGACGATACGGTTAGTGAAGATGCGATTGATTGATCGACGAAGATCATGATCGAGGCGGGGATAAAACCGTTCGACTGCTTGTAGCCATGATCACCTCTTGGCCATTACATCCCGTATGGTATCTGTAATATCCTCGTCTCCCTGGCTGATATATTTTTTTGTATGAGCTAAGTCTAACTCCAACGCTTTAGTGATGATAGCCGATAACTGGGTTGTTCTTGGCGGAACCTTTTTTTGCAGTTTCCCTTTCAAGGTCGGACTTCGAAGGTGATCAATAAACAAGTCTCGAGCGGAATTCTCGTCCCGCCCAGATTTGTCCAACATGGTTTGAAATCGATTGACGAAATCGGGCAATAATTCCCCTGGTCCTTGTGGTCGATTTTTTGATACATACCAGGCGGCATCTTCACTAACCGTTTCGAATCGAGCCAAGAATGCTCGCTTGAAAGTATCCCAATCTACCCACGTATGTTTTCTAAACCAGTCATGTGATGTGTTGCGAAGTAGTAATATCAAAACACGGGAAGATCGGTTGCGCTGTAGTTTTGAGCTTCGACAGCTTCCAGCCAAGCCTCGGGATAGGTATGATTAGGGAAGAAGGGAAAAGGGGCAGGGATGCTAACGATCACCCTAGTACCGTCCACCATTGGAACTACTGGTGCAGTCACACCAGACTGGGACCTGGTTACAGGGCGATCTCGACGAGCTAGTTGAGGGTCTCTCCTACCTCTCGCCAGTTCGACTTACTATCATTAGAACCGACATGTGTCGGCTCCGATACCAACCTCACGCCCTGTGTTGTCTTCCGTTCGGAGTGTTAGCTGTGCGAAAAAGAGGCCCAGAAAAACAGCAAGATGGGGTGTGCCAAGGATTTTTGGAAATTGAGTGTGGGGACACAGACGGAACTGAAATCCCCCGTGTTGGTCCAATGGAGCAAATCGATCGTTTCGCTCGTCGCGGAATGCACGCGTGGGCAAGGCGGGAAAGAGAGAGAAGGACCCAAATTCAATCGAAAAAGTATTGTCGTGCCTCCCACCGGGCTACAACCCGTCGTTTATAACAAAAAGGTTTGGGCACGTTTCACTGGTTAGTTCCGAGTCTGACGTGGAGGGTCTCAGTGGCGTGACTCTTTCTTTATGCTCATCTTCACTCCTCACACGATAGTGGAAACCCCTGGACTCGTAGCGCTCAAAACGCTGACATTCGGTGCACAGAGTGTGCGGCCAGTGGGGTTCTACTGCCGTCCACGGAATGACGATCAACTCGTTAATTGGCAACAATACCGAGTAAGGTGGGAAGTGCGTATCGATAATAACAAACCCGGCTTCTACGAACCCAGAACAGCGGTTGTCCGGAGGGAAGTAATACTGTCCGCCGATTTGTGCAACGACTTCTCATGCATCCCACTCACTTACACGTGTCCTTTCCTCACTGCAAGGAAAAGGTCGCATTGGGATGGGAGATATGAGAGGATGGCGCCCAATCAAAGGGTACTTGCCAGTCCACATGTCAATTAATCACAAAATATCCTGAGACGTCATTAAGAACAAAAGCGATTCGCACATCCCCCAATCTTTTTGACACAAGAGAGAGAGAGCAAACACAGATCAGCTTGATCACGCATATGGCTACGGGTCTGATCAGTTCAACACAACGTTGGTCCCTAGGCGCCTGGTTTCTCAGGGCCGCCTCGTGGCTCGGCTGCTGATGTCGTGCAGCATAAGGTAGATGGCATACGTAGTGCAAACAAAGCCACAGATCTAAACACTCTTGCATTTTCGAACAAAATCCCGACGACACTCGTCTAATCAATCCGAAAAAGTCACGCATCTCTATACATGCATTCATTGTGGACGGTGCGAAAATGAGATATGCACAGGGAAAAGATGGATCGCATTGTACAATACACACGCATCATCATTCAAAAAAAGAGAAAAAGAGAGAGAAAAAGAGAGAGTCGAGAGAAGGGAAGTCCAAAACACAAGATGACAAGATTCACGAAGAGAAAAGTTCGGCGTCACCGCCGTACACTCACGCCAAAGATAACAATCCGCAACAAAGGCGCATTCGCCGTTAATTCCAATACGCCCCCGGGCCAATCAACTCAACATCAATCCTCATACCCGCACCGACGATCCCGACCGTCGCGTGCTAACTCCCACCACTGCGATCATCACCCCGCTGTTGTAAACTCGACACGGTTCACCCAGATCCCACAGTCCGTCGTGGCGATCCAGCGCGCAACCGGCAAGTCTATCGTCAGCCCGACAAGAATTTCCGACTCGCTTCAAACACTCTGCCTAGCCACTACTTCCCGGAAGCTGGCTTGAGAGTCGGAAACGTAAGAGAGATTTGCGGACGTGCTTGCGGGTTTTATAGTTGCGACATGGGAGATAGAAGGGGGAGAAGGCGACAGGAAAGCTGAGGTGTAAGAGGAGAAGCAGGAGGAGAAGACTTTGAGAAGAGTGCTCTACGAACGCCATGCTGATCCCTCGGAACTCAAGGTTCAACCAATCAGATTCSTCGYGCKATAGGAAGGTCCTATCGATCCACGCACCTGATTGGCGAGCGGGAGTTATCGGGGGATCGGTCGGGCGTCGTACGCCAAACTTAGAGGGTGAGAAGAGAAAAGGCGCAAGAGGTGGCACAAGACGGGTCCAAGATTCAGATGATCAAGAAAGGGAAATGGGCGCGCAAAAGCAAGGCGGGGAAGAGAGGGGGCGAAGGAAAAACAGTTACGAGGAGAAAAAAAAAGGAGGGAGAAGGGAAGGGAGGCGCGGGAGGGAGCGATGCGGGGGACAGAGAGGAGGAAGCTTTTGCATGCACGGCGTCGTCAACAAAAAAAGAAAAAGGCACCGAAATAGTTACAGCTTGCTTCTATCCTAATTCAAAATTGAAATCACCATATCCGCGCGCGAAAAAGCGACGCGGGGACACGTCGAAGTTCCGCTTATCCCGGAATTCCCAACTACCGAGCCCAATTCCCAGTGCGCTCGCTAAGGCGCACGTAGATTCCCATGTATTTCCCGACTTTGCAAGAAGAAAAACAGAACTAGCAGTCGAAAAAGCTCTCAAAAAGGAAAATGCGGCACCCGAAATCAAGAAATCAAAACGGGGTTTTCCTGGGGTTGGTATGACACAAGCAAAAGAAAGGGTACGAAGGATGGCAAGGGGTCGTGAAGTGGTTCGTCGCACGAGGCTCGGACTCTATAGCTGGGCAAGGTACTGGTGGTTTAATGCCCGTACATACATTGTATTCTGGTGACGATGGCAGGGGAACCGACGGAAAAACCTGACACCAGCAAATCTGACAGCACTCTTTTTTTTGTTTTGTTTTCAATATAAACGCTAGGCCCAACGAATTCAATAACCTGTCAAATCTGGACAGGATGGTGTGTCAGGCCCCTTTTTCATTGTCCTTTTAGTACTACGGGGAACCCGTAGCAGCCCGATCCGTGCTCAAGCCTCTAATGAGGGAACATGCGGAGCTGCACCCACCAGCAGGTGCAATACCTGCTACAGCAGGTGGGTGATACATGCCAGAGGTCAGCCCGTGAGCTGCACCCACCAGCAGCTGCAACACCTGCTACAGCAGGGGGGTGATACAGGCCAGGGGTCAGCCAGTACCATCAGGACCGAGCTTCTTCTATGTGCCAGTCGTCCCCTCCCCCTATGAACATCCGTGGTCCCTGCTAAATGCCACTTGGAAGACCCAACGGCCAACCTCTGGGTGGCAGGCGCCGAGTTCGCCCAGGAAGGTACATGAGGCGAATGGGATTTGAACCCAAGTCGTCCTGAATGCCACCTGTGCGCCTTACCAACTGAGCTTGACTGATGGATTCTGACTCTATCAGTCAGAGATCAAATGAACACAGGGGCAAGGTCCCACTTGCGCAAATTAGGAGATTTCGGCCGTTGATCTGTGCTATCCACGGTCAGTATCTCTTAATTCATGCAAGTGGGATCTAGCCCCAGGTCAGGGGCCTCTTCCTCGTTCCTAATGTTGTGGGCCGAAGACTATACTTCAATTTTTTTATTTTTTTTTCCTCTTTCTCAATCCTTCTCTCAACTTCTGTTTTTTGCCTTTTACTACCTACTCCTAAGGCTATCTAGAGGGGACCCGTGCAAGCATAGTTTCCTCTCGCTGTGAAGGGGAGATTTCATGTTGCCCCTCGGCCCTCAAGTTTGTGGGGCCTCTTCCCTTTCTTTTCTTCTTTCTTTTAGGATTGTTTTCTATTTTGGCTGCCTCTTCCTCCTTTTCCTATCAGGTATTTTTTTATTACTTGATTTCTTACCTATTTCTCGATTTCTGCCCGTCATCATTGCCCAGGGTCTTCTACGTAGGTACAACGAAGAGTCGGACGCTCCAGTGGCGAATTCCTATTTTGCCTCGTTTCAACCACCTGACAGCAGATCACATTCTTTCTTTTCCTTTCTTTCGCTAAGGGCGGGATCCTCCAGATATCACCGCGGAGATGTCAATAACCATGGCAGCAGCTTCGTTCACATCCCATTCGCGTCATCATTGCGAAGGGTCTTCTGGGTACACAGCGAAGAATCGGACGCTCCAGTGGGGGAGATAAAGACAGCGGGGGCCAAGTCCCACTGACGCTGATTCGTCATTTCTGGCCGTTGATCTTCCGAATCTACGGACTGTTTTTTAGAATTCGGGTAAGTGGGACTTGGCCCCCGGTTGGCGATTTCCTATTTTGCGTCGCTTCAACCACCTGACAGCGGATCATTCTTTTCCTTTTCTTTCTTTTTTTCTTTTTCTTTCTTTTTTTCTTTTCCTCTTCTTTTCTTTTCTTTTTTTTCTCTTTTTTTTCATAGTAGCAATATTATCAAATTGAGGCCGGGGACCTCACAATTCGACCCGGAGTTATCCCGGCAGCTTTAGCCGGTTTCGCTTACAGCCACCAAGGCTGGAGAACATACTGTGTACCGCTCTGCTTTTCTTCAAACGAGCTCACGCACTCAATTCTATTCAAGTTCATAACACTATTCACCTCTGTCTTTACTGTGACTTACCTACAAAGTTTATCAAAGTGCAGGCCCTGAGCGCCCTTTCTTACTGCCAACTTCTACAGACACCTACAAACTACCGGGGCCTACTCCTGGCACCCAAACCAACCTATACAGCAGTTGGTTGGAACTTGCGTTCCCCGTAACTGTTGGCCCTCTACCACCCACCATCCCCAATCTGCCTCCTGCGGCACTCACCTAAGAGAGAACCGAGTGCCCTGGTTCTCGAAGTAACCAACTGTCAGACCACTGAGTTACCGTATTAACCTACCCTGTTCCCCTTAGACCCCCTGCGCTGGTTCTTTCACCCACGGGGAGAGGACAAGTCCCTTGGTTCTGTGCACTCCTGCCAATTGGTGACGATGCGCCCAGGTGTTTAAAAACCAACGCAGTTGCCTCCTGTTCCCCTTCCCTGCCCTTGCTCTTTTCCTCCAACCCACTTTGATCGCCTCCCGCAGACCCTGCCTCACGGCCTTCTTGATTTCCAGATCTGAGAAAGGCCTCCTTTCGAATCGTCCCTCCAGATGATCTCACAGAGAAGACCCCTAGTTTTCCGTTTCTTTCAGCAAGGGCGTCATCCTTGTAAAAAAGGAGAAAAAAAAAAACAAAAAAAAAAGAGATATCACCGTGGAGATGTCAATGACCAACTTCGCATTTCAGTAAACAGAAAGCAGCTTCGTTCCCAACGCATTGCAATTTGCAACTCCTTTTTTGTCACTTCGTTACAACGATGGGAAATGGGCCTGGCACCCCCCGCAACAACAAAATCGACCTTGAGATTGAGATACCGACGTGGATCAGGTTTGCATTGCAATTTGCAACTCCTTTCTTTTTGTAGAAAAAAAGATCTCATTCATTTACAGTGCTGGGCAACGGACCCAACGGCCCTCCCAACAACAAAATCGACCCCTCTTGAGGGCCTCCTTCCCCCCCACTTCGGAATCCTTACATTTACAGGGCGCCCCTAACTGGTCAAGGGGTGATTAATTTACCCTAACCTTACCTCTTTCGTTCCCCCTCCCCTAAGGAAGACCCTACCACTCACCTACCCGCCGCCATAACTTGTTACAAGGGCGAAGCCATACGTCTTCGACAACGCCAAGCAACACGCAGGGGTTACACACGGCCTAGGGTTCCCCGGGTCCATGTCCCACTTACACGCATTCTCGACGTCCGACCGTTGATTCCAAAGATTTTTTTTTCTTTTTTTCTTTTTCGGTTACAAAAACAAGCCGGGCTGCTGCTAGCGGTGCTGATAAGAGCAGGCACCACTAGCACCATCGGGGAGGCGTAGATTCCAAAGATCAATGGTCGGAAATGAAGAATTCGGTCAAATGGGACTTGAGACCACGATGGAGCCTAAGCCGCCGGTCAGGCCCGCCGAAAGGCCCGCAGAACTACCTAGGGCAGAGTGTGTATCACAAGCGCTAGCGCTCCTTCGCGAACCGGTTCCCGCCCCCAGAACACGTCGCCGTTTTCCACCCGCTCCATTTTCTCGTCATAAGGGTGTGGTGGAACAATGATTTTCTCGATTTATGCGTGTCATCCTTGCGCAGGGGCCATTGAATACTTGTACTTTCGGAATACTTTTCTAGTGGTGTTCATAGAGGCCCACAGCGATACCGATGCGGAGCACAGGTACATTCGGAATCGATCCGACAGCTCGAAATCCGAAAAGTCACCACCTCCAGATACATGGGGCCTCGCTGCACTACTCTAAAAGATGGCAATGTATATGTCCACCTAGCGAAGATTCATTCTCATTTTGCACATTTGGAGAGTAGTGCAGCGAGGGCCATGGTTTAGAATGTTGTACGGTTGGAGCAATGGGCATCTTAATACACTCCTCGGGGACGAGGACTCCCCAAGGAATTGTTCGTTCCACCACCTATCCTCGTGGACGTAAGATAAAGTGTAGCATCGGTTCTGATCAGTTTAATATCTGATCCGTGGTCCATCGGGCCATATGATATTAAATTAATTAATTTGTCGGGGCTACGGAGGGGTCAAAAAAAAAAAAGTGGTAGGCTTCCCTACTCGATCCTTCCAGCGGCGTTGCATTCGTCTTGCACTGCAGCGAAGCGTGGCGCGGCGCACTTCCCCCTGGTTTAAAAAAAAAAAAAAAAAAAAAACGCTCGTAAAGACATTCCTCAGGCAATAGAGACTTCCCCAGCCATTTCTTCCTTGTGCCCAAGGGACCTGGGGGACAAGGAATCGGCGTTTCACGGAGGAGATAGACGTTACAGCGGAGACTCTGGATCGTGGCAACACCCTATTGGCAGAAGGCCTGAAGCACAACTGTCTTCATTTTCCTTTTCTTTCTTGTTTCTGACATCGGTCTTAGGAAATGTCCTCGGGCGACGTCCCCGAGGACAGGTGGAACGAAGGGCCCAAATTTCCTTTTGAGCCATTAGGAATCTTTCCTCTTGCCCGAGGATTTCAATAGGACTGTCTCACGACGCCCAATCCTCCGTTTCACTTTTCACGTTGAGTCGAATGGGACCCCACCAATTCGTAGGGCAATCAAAGGTGGAAATGATGCAACAATGTGAGGGCGAGAACATCCTGTCACCTCACTTGCTCGCAAACTCGCACCTGACGACGATGCAGTGCAAGCTCATCACGCCGCTGGATAGAAACCGAGATCTCATCGATCGACGGAACCACGGAAGCGAAAGGACTTATTCACAACACAGAAAGCTTCATTAGGACCTGGCGCAAACACGTGCCCAAGTTCAACAACTGTGTTCATGCTTACCACGTACGCATATTCTTGTACATGGCACGCACATTTCTCCTACATAGCACTGTAAATAGCACGCACATTTCTCCTACATAGCACTGTAAATAGCACGCACTTAGCACGCGCGCATGGCATAAAAACACCATGCGCATGGTACACAACTACCACGGGCCCTTACTTTTGAACGATGGGGTAGGCAAGAGCACAGGACAAGCCGGGCAACAAAAAAAAAAAAAAAAAAAAAAAAAAGAGCACAGGACAACCCGGGCATTGCACAACCCAATGCATTCACTGGCTATCATCCATACAACCTAATCCACAGATGTGAACTTGATTTGATGTGAAGAATTCACGACCACAACAAGTTCTGTTACCTCTCCATCCATCTGAGAAGCGTGGGTGCTTCTTTCTCCATCCATGAACAACAACCAAATCGCGCAAGCATTTTCAATGTCATTCCACTTTGGACATTATCGCCACCCTCCCAAACAGTCGTATTCCCCTATCTCTTCTTTTCTTTGTCTCTATTCATCTCGAACGATTCTTTTCCACTCTTCGCTTTTCTTTCCAAAGTACAACGTGCTGACAGATGCTCGCATTCATCATACGCGATCCCTTGAGATCTAAAGAAGCATATTTCAAGGCGACTTAATAATTGGCAAAGAGGATTGTCACTTATTCTTTCAATTCCCTTGAGATCTAAAGAAAAGCATAGTTCAAGGCAACTTCATAATTTGGCAAAGGATTGTCACTTATTCTTTCACTTTCCTATTAGGTTTTCTCTCTATTCATCTTGAACAACGTTTTTCTCTGCTCTTCCCTTTCCGTTCCGAATGACGAGCCTCGATGACAGTTACGAACATTCATACATACATACATACATACATACCAAAACAAACAAACAAAAAAAAAACACATTCATACATACGTGATTTCCAAGCATAAAGATACATGTTCCAAGGCAACCGATTGTCACTTGCTCTTTTACTTTCATCCATTCTCTCTTTTCAATGCGAAGACTGTACCTTGCTTGCCACCAGTCAGGTAGGTCGATCGAGAGAATCAGACCGTTCACCGCCAACACTGGGAAGACTCGAAATGCTTTCCGATCCATACCATCCCCCTTTCCCTCTTTGTCCCCGTTTCCATGTCACCACAGCAATACACGGGGGTAAGACAAGTATGTCCAGTGGGAGGGATGATTGATGGGCAAGACTTGCAATGCTGGATGATCGAGAGACGAATTGTTAACGGATGGATGGTGGACAAAATTGTGTACCGAGCAGTCGCGGCACCAGGACAGGGACACTGGCATCGCCCCTCCTGAAGACAATAATTATCACGAAAAGACACACTTCCTTTACCAATACCGAAAACCAAGCTGCCAATGCTCGTAATCTCTTCCAAAACGTTTTCCTGATGCCAGTGAAATAAATACATAAAAGCGATGCAAAATCCATGTCATGCCCACAGAGCAAGAGCCATGCAGCAGATTTTCTGGGTCAGCCCGTCGAAAAAGGCCCGTTCAATGCACTTCTCGTAACACCCCCCCACACTTCCGCACTCACCCGCACGCGTACGCTCCCAACCAGCGCCCCACCAGACCAATCAACCATGGTCATGATGCAAGGCGCTTTCCAGCTCATACAAAGTTCGGATCTAGCAATAATTTTTATGATCTATCAAATAATTCAGCCGAAGAGCCCTCGCACAATTAACAAAGGAGACAGCAGGACGCGAATTGCAGTTCCCTTCACTCACTCAACCGTACCCGTAGTTAACCGCAAGAACACGACCCCCGATCCCACCGACACCGCTAAGCCCCTCTCAAAAGGTAGACTTGTTTGGAGGAGAGTGCTCAGAGGAAAGGGGTAAGCTTGGGCGGGCACAAATAATCAACTGGCAGAGCGCAGCTAACGCACTTTAGCTCTCACAAGATGTTTCACTAATTCCGTCAACCCTAAACCACAAAAAAATATGAGCTTTCGTCACAACTCGGCCGTCCGTTCGATGCCCATTGCCCATTGCCGACTGCAGAAGCCATTCAAAACCTCGGTACCTATTTGGTGATCGTTTGAAACCACTCTTGTGAAAGCTGTATAGAAAGAGACTAAACGTACATGTCCGTTCTCAATCCCCTTACGATCACGTCTCCAACCAAAAACTTCCTCCCGCTCTTGTTGGAAACTCCATCTACTCTTTTACAAATATACGCAAACAAACAAATGACTATCTACTATCTACGGTCGAATCTTGTTGCTAACCACTGCGATGCAGACAAAACTGCTACAGCTCTTCCCTCCTCCTTCCTCTTGGCCGCTTTGAAGAGAAACACTCGCCTCCCCCAGCAAAACCTCTCCACAACAGCCATTGCTCCTATACTAGTTAAGTCTACACTCATTCCTGCAGAACAACAAAGCAAGTCCGAGCTTGCAATGCAGGGAGATACCGAAATAAATAATCCTTTCCCCGAGTCATTCTCGTATAAGTGAGTGATCCGTGCGCGTCCGTGCGCGTTAATCTCGAAACCAACCCTACGATCACCCGACTGCCAAGTACCGCTGCGAAGAGCATCACGCCTCTGGTACCCTTCCAGCAAGACGGCATACTCACTCCCGTCATGAGGAACCCTTCGAGCAAGACAGCATACAAACACCAAACAAAAAGATTTATTTACATGCATAAACACATTTCCGTGCCCCACCCCGCGCATAGTAAAAAGCCATGCAAATACAGGCGACGGCGTGACCCCTCAGCCCCTCCACACATCGCAAATACACGCGATCTCGTGACCCCTCAGCTCCTCCATACATCGAGGAAAAGTCGGAAGGACGCTGAAAAGCCAATTCAGTAACACAAAATGAGACGTCCTTCCCATCAAAAAGGCCCAACTACAACACCGTACCACTCTTCCACATCGATAGGTTCAACTTTGCACTATCCCCATCTCTCTCTCTCTCTCTCTCTCTCTCTCTCTCTCTCTCTCTCTCTCTCTCTCTCTCTCTC